CGGAAATTATGAACAAACACCTTTTGGTGTTGCTACCCTTCCGAACACTATCTGAACCCTGTGGCCTGATTGCGTACAAACGACTATTGACGGGTATCCAATCTTTCATAGCGATGATTCAGTGATAGATGGTCTAAAGCGATACACTGTTGGTCTTACTTGGCGTTTGGTGCATTTTTTATTGAAGAAGATACACTTTGTGCAGTGCATACACAACCAGGCTGAAAGTATCTAAAAAGAACACTCTTTACCTGCCACCCAGTCCAGAAAGCGCCCAGAAACAAGCAACACAATCCGTGCCTAAAATGAGCACACAACAATTGGTTCACCTACTTGGGCCAGATCGTACAATCCGAACAACGCGTAGATGAACCCGTTTAGGACAAAGTTCCCGGGTTCCGTAGGATATTCCTCATACCAGGGCAATGACGGTTGGTTGAGAAACAAGGAACGAATTCCATTTTGTGCAACAGATGTATTAAACACAGCCAATGCGTTCTGAGCGGATCGGAAGTAGACAGTATCCCCGGTATAGTTATGCGCACGTACGAGTAGAGACAGTCCATGACCTGGGGGAAATAACAAAAAAAGAAGTTTCACGGTAGGACAGACAGATGGAATGAGTCACATCCAATCGAGAGTGTTCATTTATTGCGCGTAATCACACAAAACGAGTTCTCTTATAAAATGAGTAAGGACCATTTAGGGATAAGCAACGACCATCCTTACATTAGATGTGTTTAATCCTTGCCTGAGTCTGATAGGAGTAGATCACTGGGTGGAAAGTCCCAATGGTTAGGATCTAATATGACTAGTCTTTCGGGATACGATTAGAGAACCTACTTGGTCACAGCCTTGATTTGTTACAGGAGTGCGGCACGCTCACATACAATTAAGTACGAAGCGCGTGCAATCGATACCACTTTTTATATACAAGCGAATTAACAATTTTGGTACAACCAAATTTTATTTTTCAGTCAAGGATCAAAACCCACGAGAGCTCTGACTTGAGAAACCCAACCCAGTCAAAAATTACCTCAAACTGTTTAACACCATCAACGCATTCCTCTTTTTCTATGTGAAATATGATTGGGATATTCAGTGTCAGATCCGAACGACGTTCGGAGTGTATCTACAAATCGATGCACCATATAATATGTTCTATATAAGTTGTAATTGTGAAAATACTGTGATTTCGGTACAGGTGAAAATAAGCCGACGTTTCGGTTACTTTTATCAAGACGATTTTACAATCGAAATTCCGATTGTCAACGAAGTTTCGGTAATGGCAACCAGATCCCACTGACCAGTTTGCAAGCGCATTTGCGACTCGGAGAATTTTCTGAGGAAGCCTTGTGCGTTTGTTTAAAAACAAGCTAGGGAGTGTCAGTTTACGAATTCGTTGGGTTTTGAATCGTTATTTATGCCGACCACTCTGCGATTGGCTAGCAGTGGTTTTTGGGGGAATCGGTTCTGCCGCTGTGGGCTAGCGAAGAAGGAGAAGGAAGTGGAGTTTGGCTTGGAAGAGGCTGTTTTCTAACTGCAGACACTGTTTTACTTCCCTTTTCAACAGCGGTTTAAGGCTTAATTCTGGTGGTCCTCTTCTTTTTTGATACCATGCCTGCAAGACCGAGGTGACCATTTCCGAGGTACTGAGGGTTAGTTGAATAAGAAAAGCAAGGTTGTACGCACATGTTTTCTAGACTACAGAGATGCCTGCAACACGAGTGATAGAGAAATATTTCTAGATACCCTCTCGTGAGTAGGTGTTCAACCTCCTATGATTGAACTCCTGGTCAATTACTTATCCAACCGTCAGCAGGTTACAGGCTACAAAGGTCGCACATCTTCACTGCTGCTCTCCTCACAAGGCGATACTTTGCCCTCTCGTCTACTTTCCGCCTACACTGTCTCTATGCCTGTGAGCAATTCCTCTGTTCTTGTTAAGTATGCAGACGATATAATATTTGGATTGCCCTACCCCACTCCATCATTTCAAACCACTCTACAAGAAAATCTGTCAGAAACAGTTGAACGGTCTTAACAAAGGAACCTCCGTATGAACCCCCAAACTGTAATGACAATTTTTGCCCTTTTGTAAGGTCAAATGCCGGCCCACCTATATCCGTCTTCGGTGACTAGATGGATCCACAACCACTTATCCTATACCTTGGCGTTATTT